TTCTTAACTCTTTTAAAAAGTACATTTGTAATAATGTCAAATTAACATTTTTACCTTTTAAATAATTATGTTTTAATAATCTTTTGTCATTCTTTAAAAAGGTACACTTATTTTGATGTGTTGACTAACATACTGAAGTATAAGTACAGTTTTATGCAGAAGTTTGGGCACCCCTGATAATTATAATTTCAGTTTATAATCTGCTGGTCTTTCGAAGCAGCAACTTCATTTGGATATAATTTACACCTTATGGAAACAGTAACATTTCAGTTCTGAAACAACATTTATTGATTCAACAGAAACAATGCAATGTGAGTCATAACAAAAACAGACAGGTGCAAATATTTGGGCACCCCAATGGAATAATTACATCAATATTTAGTAAAGCCTGCTTTTGCCGAAATAACAGCCTGTAGACGCTTCTTATAGCCACTGATAAGTCCCTGAATTCTGGCTGCAGGTATTTTGGACCATGCTAACTTGCAAAATGTCTCCAGTTCAGTCAGGTTTGATGGCTTCTGAGCATGGACAGCCCGCTTCAAATCATTCCTTAGATTTTTAATGAGGTTCAAGTCTGGGGACTGGGATGGCCATTCTAGAACACTGTATCTGTGTATGAATTCTTTGGTAGATTTGGAACAATGCTTTGGATCATTGTCCTGCTGAAATAACCTCTTGACTGATTCTTGAACATTGTTCTTATAAGAATCTGCTGATACTGGGTGGAATCCATGCGACCCTCAACTTTGACCTGTGCTTGCCACACAGCCCCATAGCATGATGGATCCTCCACCAAATTTTACAGTAAGGAGCAGGTTCTTCTCCTGGAATGCTGTGTTCATTTTCCACCATGCAAAGCCCTTTTGGTTGTGACCAAATAACTCTATCTTAGTTTCATCTGTCCACAGCACATTATTCCAAAATAATTCAGGCTTGTCCAGATGAGCCCTTGCATACCTCAAACGACTCTGCTTGTTGGCAGTACGCAGAAAAGGCTTTTTCCGCATCACCCTTCCATTGAGCTGTGCTTTGTACAAAGTACGCTGGACTGTGGAACGATGTACAACAACACCATCAGCACCAAGATGTTCTTGGAGCTCTTTGGAGGTAGTCTGTGGTTTGTCTGTGACCATTCTAACCATTCTTCGCCTTTGCCTCTCAGATATTTTTCTCGGCCTACCACATCTTTCCTTCACAAGGACTGTTCCTGTGGCCCTCCATTTTCTAACTATATTTCTGACTGTGGAGACAGAGACCTTAAACCTTTGTGATAACTTTTTGTATCCTTCTCCTAATTGATATTGATGATATTGAAGCTTGTTCTGTTGATTTCCCAGCAATGGCATTGTCCATTTTTCTTTTTTTAGATTTTGCTGAGGAAAAGTCTATAAGAGCTATGGGAGCTGCAGCAATCTGTAAAATTTGAAAAGCATAAAGTTAATTACATACTGCCCATGTAAGGAAAATTACAATAACTTACCATTTCTAACACACATATATGTGGTCCATAACATGGAAAATTAAAGATATAACATTGCAACTACAATGTGTTGTTTCTCTTAGTCTAAGACAAAACCATATGAATTGTAGTTGCAGTGCTTGAACTTACTTTCCCTGCAGAAGTGTGTTTTACAAATTAACAGTTGCTGTCATTTCCCATAGTAGAGTATGAAATTAAAATTCTGGGCCGAAACCAAACATTTTTTATTTATTTATTTCTAAATTATTTATTTTATTAAATAATTATTTATTTTTATTAAATAATATAAAGTAATTTTGTAAGACTTTTTAACTTAACTCAATAATTTTAATGACACTAAATTAATAAATCACACATACATTTATTATTGCTATATATACATTATCTTGCAAATTCTATCTCACCAGAGTCACCAGCTGTTTTTCAAACATTTGTCTATGATGCATTTTTGCTATTCGCAATTCAGAAGCGAGATCGCGCCCACGCGGAAAAGCATTCTATCTCACCAGAGTCACCAGCTATTTTTCAAACATTTGTCTATAGCCCTATTCGCACGGGATTAGTATTATCTGGTTAAAATAATATCTCAAGCTTTATGCTTGATTTATTTGTAACACATTAACCTCAAAACCTTTTCAGCTTTCTCTTTCTGCAAATTGTATGGTGTAGCGAGCGATATGACAGCACCCAAAATACTATCAAACACTCCAACGCAGCTTCATTCTTCGCGAAAGATGGATAAAAAATGTGCACAGGAAACAAAAACCTCGAAAAATGACATATGACCCGCCAAATCACAGAGATGCCGATTCGCACGGGACTAATATTATCACAGAATTTACAATTCAAATCCGTTTTTGACCATTATTTATTCATATCACACATTTAAGCTGATCTTTCAAAAACATAATAATAGCCTAAGTTTTGGGATCATTATTTTTTTCGATAGTATTACAGCACATCCCCGATGAAGCTTCCCCGATCATTGCCACGGACAGTAAACATAAACCTGGCGATGTCCACGTTCTCCACTCCTTGGTCAGCTCTTACCCTGTTTTTGAAAGATCAGCTTAAATGTGTGATATGAATAAATAATGGTCAAAAATGGATTTGAATTTTAAATTGATTCTCAATTATTGAAATGACTAGACTATTCCTTAGGTTTCATGTTTCATACCTGTTTTTATATTCTAATGCAAATAGGTATTGGTGTTGCCGTGTTGTTTATACATGACTAATTATTGAATAAAAATAAAAAAAAACTATTCCTAAGGTCACGACTTAACAAGCGGTAATGTGTTGAAAATGACCAATCACAGGAGCGGAGACATCTGACATTTGATCCCCGCCTCCAAAGTCTCAAAAGTCAACTTGACGAGCGAGCAGGGGTTGAGCAGTTGAGCGGGCATAGAGATGGTTGAGCGAGCGCTACTTAGCGCCATTCTCGCGAGAGTGCATTTTTGCACGCGGATAGTAGGCTTGTTTGAGATGCACCTTGCCTTGCCTGAAATGAAGGCGAGAGTAGGCGGATTCCTTTTTGAAGTGTATTCTGACAGTTTAAAGTCCTCTGAACTTCCTACAACGATGACTCAAGGTGTAATCTGTCTAATTCCTAAACCCAAGAAAGATTTACTGCTTATTGTTTGTTGAATAATGTTTACAAAGTATTTGCTCTTGTTTTTGCCCAAAGATTTAAATTAGCATTAGATTCAATAATTGATGAAAATCAGTCTGGGTTTATGAGGAAAAGACATATATTTTAATAATATCAGACTTATTTTTGATCTTATTGATTACTCTGATCTCATTAAAGAGGATAGTTTTATATTGTTTTTAGATTTTTTTAAAGCCTTTGATACCGTCGAGCATCCTTTTATTTTTTATTGGTTAGAACGTTTTGGGTTTGGGCGCTATTTCAGCAATGCCATGAAAACTCTTTATGTGGGTGCACGGCAATAGTTCAGTTAAATTAAGTCAAGGCACCACACAAAGATTTTATCTGAAAAGAGATGTGAGGCAAGGTTGCCCAGTTTCAGTTTATCTTTTTCTTATTGTTGCTCAGGTGTTTAGTCATTTTATTAAATCAAGTGAGTTAGAAGGAATTCAAGTTGAAGGGAGAAGTGTCCTGATAAGTCAGTTGGCCGATGACACGGCTCTTTTAAAAAAAAAATGCTCGTCAAATTCAGTCGGCTATCAAAATTATTGAAAATTTTTCCAGTGCTTCGGGTCTTTGCTTGAATTTACAAAAATGTTAATTGCCTGCGTTGAAGAGTTGCCATAACAAATCCATTTGTAATATTCCCGTAAAGGATGCTCCAATCTATTTAGGTATGGCTATTTCCAAAAATGAACAGGACAGAATCTCACTAAATTTTAATCCTGTAATCAAAAAAGTAAAGAGCAGATTTAATATTTGGTTACAGAGGGATTTATCTCTTAATGGTCGTGCTCTGCTGGCTAAAGCGGAAGGTATCTCTAGGCTTACCATGTTGCTTCCTCAATTCATTCAGATAGTAAAATAAATAAGATAATTGATCAAACAATGTTAAATTTTTTGTGGAAAAACCGTATGCATTATATTAGAAAATCTGTTGTAGTTAATTCATATAAAAATGGGGGTCTTGATTATTTAGATTTTTCTATCTTAAATAACACTTTCAAAATTAACTGGTTGAAGTATTTTTTGAAAAACCCTTCTTCTGTATGGAATACAGTATCTACTACTGTTTTTGACCAACTTGGTGGTTATTTGGTATATTTAAGTTATTGTGATTTAACAAGGCCTTTTTTTCATTTATTTTATTTTATTTGTTGCTTTTATTAACTATACATGTGTGTATATATATGTACTTTTTATGTTTTTTTGTGTATACCCTTGGCACTTTTGTTTTGTATTTGTAGTTCAAGCATGAATAATAAAAAATAAAAAAAAACAGCAGAAAACATGTTTTTTGCAACAAATGTTTTTTTTTTTAACATAAATGCAAAAGGAAAACTTGAAATCGCATCATATGACCCCTTTAATGTTGCCTAGAAAGGGGTGGCTCAACTTCCCCGCAGGCTCAAATCACCCAGCTCTCCCCTATGCTGTTATCAGATTTGAAAAACATATGTTTTCCCTATAGAACACAATGTGGTTTTAAGTTTACATAATACTTTATAAAATACAGATTGCTTCTTGCAGCTTTACAGTAATAAACATTTAAACTATTACAGCTTAAAGTTCAATTATAAAGCAACTCTGCTGTTCACCTCTGGCTTTACCGTCCCTCCCATAGACGCTGCAAGAAACACCCTCGCATTAGCGTTAATTAGTTTATTTGTATTATTATTTTTTTGTAATTGATGCAAAGGTGATACAATAAGCATATACAGTGTTATAAATGTATATAAATTTTTACAACCTTTCGAGGATTTACGATGCTGATGACGCGTCGTCACACAGTCTTGTGAAAAGGGTCCATACAACACATCATACTGGCTGTAACCCCAGTAACCACGTCTCCATGGAAACGTTCCCAACAAAACACAGCTGTGTGTCGGGTTTATTGCAAGTAGCTGTGGTCAACACCGGCGGCACTGTTGTTTTTTTAACACTATTTGTATCCCGGTCATTACGTCTGGCAGCTTTTTCACTAAAGCTCAAACAAAATGGTAAGTGCTTTTTAAAACGAAACCCTAAATTATGGTCAGAAACAATTAACTGTTCGCTTTGCAATTTACGTTGGGGTTCAGGGTTCAGAACCGGACACATTTTTGAAGTACGAAAACCTATACGTTAAAGTTTCCTGCACTCATGGACCGATACTATCATCGTAATAAAATGTTCTGACGCTGTTATTTACTATATATTATGTAGTATATCTTATGGTTATTTTTAGTGAATCAAAAATGAACCGTTTAACAGCTGGAACTAACTGTTGTATGTGTATATGTGTATTCCCTACTTTAGTCCCCTCAAGGATAGTAATACCAGTCATTTTTGACATCGTGGGGACTTACACAGCTTATAAATCATAATAAATTAAGTATTTTGAATGCAGAAAGTTTTCTGTGAGGGGTAGGGGTAGGGTTAGGGTTTTATTACTGTTTCAACTTTGGAATCTATGGATTGTGTCCATAAAACATGGAAATCTGCACTGGTTTAGGTAGTTTATGAGGACACAAATTCAATTCAATTCAAGTTTATTTGTATAGCACTTTTCACGATACAAATCGTTGCAAAGCAACTTTACATAAAATTAAGTTTCTACAATATTTAGTGGTAGCTTATCAGTGGTGATGTCAGTTCCCTTTCATGGGAACTTCGAACTGCGTCCGGGTTGGCATCATCTGAGGTCCTCTGAGGGGCAGAAACAGAGAAACAAAGAAAGCCATAACTAGCCTAGATGCTGTTCCAACCAAGCAAATGTATTTGTTTAACCCAAGCTAAAGAATAATCATGTGCATTTGATCATAACTGCAGTACAAGATTATGAGATGCATTATTTGAATGCTTGGCCAAAGAGATGTGTCTTTAATCTAGATTTAATCTAAGATGGAAGAATGCTGTTTTTGTAACATGGGAAGACTAGAAATATGATTTTCAAAAGACAAGTTGCTATCTAATATAACACCCAGATGTTTGACTGTAGATGAAGTAACAGTAAATCCTTCTAGTTGAAAATTGTAATCCAAGAGATTCTGCGTACTGTCTTTTGGTCCAATAAGTAATATCTCTGTCTTATCCGAATTTAATAAGAGAAAATTATTGG